TGCATAACATTTCCTTACTTAAGTAGGGTACACGTCGGTGCTAGAAGTGAGTACTGATGGTGGGGTTGCAGAGGTGGTGGTGGTGGTGGAGGAGGAGGAGGAGGAGAAGGAGGACGACGACGACTATGGGGTCCTTGATGCTCTCTGAGCTTGGTGGTTTTCCTGCATAACATTTCCTTACTTAAGTAGGGTACACGTCTGTGCTAGAAGTGAGCACTGATGGTGGGGTTGCAGAGGTGGTGGTGGAGGAGGAGGAGGAGGAGGAAGACGATGACAACGACTGTGGGGTCCTTGATGCTCTCTGAGCTTGATGGTTTTCTTGCAGACCTTTCATTATCTAACTAGGGAACATCATCAGTGCTAGAAGCAGTGCTTATTTTTTTTGTCGTAGAACTCACCGGAATAGAGTTCCGGCACCTTTTTTTTTTTTTGGACAGATTTTCCAAGTTTTAAAAGTAACTTTTGAAAATTTGATGTTTGGTCCACATGGACTTGAATTGCCCTGTCGAGCGTAGCAGGTCGGTGGCAAAAATCATTAAAACGGTGCATGCGGGCTGCTTGTGTGTCGAGTCCAGTGCATGCGTACTTTGTCCGGCTGCTCGGCTTGTGGCACTGCTCAGCTTGTGATTGGTTGTGTGGTCGCGTGCTGAGTGCTTACTGCGGGGATGACCGACTGTTATGTTTCGTTACACAACCGATGTGTGTGGGTGTGTGTACAGTGATTGACTATGTGCAAAAGGTAAATAAAAGATTAACAAGATGTGAGTTCCAGCACCTTTTTTCTTACAAAAAAAGCACTGGCTAGAAGGGAGTGGGTGTATGGAGTAGAACAGGAGGAGGAGGAGGAGGAGGAGGAGGAGGAGGAGGAGGAGGACGACGACGACGACGACGACGACTGGGAGTGGGTGGTCCTTGGTTCTTTCTGAACTTGGTTGTTTTCTTGCAGACATTTCATTACCCAACTAGGTAACATCATCGTTTTTTCTACTGTACAGTTTTAATTGATCCTACAAGGAGTTCTATGGCCTTATAGTCCATTTGAGGTGATCCTCAATCAGCAGTGATGGAGTCATTTTTAGAGGCCTTTCCTTTCCCCTTTCACAGTGTCCGTGGGTCAAAAATGGAGATTGTGGGTCCTTGGTTATTGAGCTTGGTTTACTTTTTGCAGACATTTCGTGACCAAACTAGGTAACATCATCAGTCAGACAGGGTTCCTTAATTCAGCAACTTTTAAGATGTGTGGACTTCAGTTCCAGGAATTCTCCGGCCAGCAAGTTGTTGAAGCCCACATATCTTAAAAGTTGCTGAGGCTGAGAAACATTGCACTAAAAGATTCTCCATGTCTTGTCATCCCTCGTCTTCTGCTTCCTTTAATATTCTTCCTTTCTTTACCTCTTTTCAGAAGATTTGGTCTTCCACGCTGGACCATCTTCTAACATTCTCCCTCTCTCAAGATAACAGGCTATTTTGCTGAGAATCACCCAGAGGGAGGATTTTGTATTGTAGAATCTTGCAACTGATGGAGACCAAGCCCCAGATCCTGCTCTTTCTGCCCTTATCCATGTTCTTTTGGTTCCCGGGCAGTTTCGCGCTGCTAGACACAGACGGAGGCTGGTAAGTAGGCATCCAACAAGGAAAAAGCAAAAAAATAAATAAATATCGAAGCAAAAAAAAATACAACTTTTTAGGGGAGATGAGTAGCATAAAATTGATTGATTGATTGATTGATTGAATGAATGAAAATGAATGAATGAATGAAAATGAATGAATGAAGTCTATGGGTTTTTCCAAAGCAGTCTGTTTCAAACTTGGCAACTTTAAGAGGGGAATTCCCCAAAACATCTGGGAATTCTGGGAATTGAAGTCTACCCATCTGAAAGTTGCCAAGTTTGAAATAGACTGACCCCAACACAACATAAATTATGGTATTTCAGCATAACAGAGACGTTTAAGTGCTAACGGAAGCCATCTCTTACCCGGAATTCCTGTCTGTCATGTTTGATAAGTTCCTCCCATTTTGCAACGACACCCCCCCCCCCCCAAAAAAAACAACCCTCTCTCTCTTCCCTTCTCCCAAATCTAGTGGATTTGTTTTTGCACATAGATTTTTGGCTTTGTTGACAGATTTCAAAAAGAAATCTTCTTTCTACCACTCCTATGAAAATCGCTGCCTTTAAAGTTCTTTGTTTGTGTGTTTGTGTACATGCAAATGTATATACATAGAGCGTTCAGGGCAACCATTAATATATGGCCCTGTTCACAGAAAGGTAGATGTTACGGCCAAAGGGGTTTTGCATTTCTCAGGAGGATGCTAGATTTCTACATGCAAGGCACTTCCAGTGTTGGAGGGGGTTTTCCCCCCCCATATTTTTATATTCTGTTCTGGGTGCCTCTTCCAGGAATCAGAAACCATACAGTTAATTGTGCTGTGAACAAAACTTGGACAGGAAGCCTTTTCCTACTTATGAAACTTTCATTTTCATTTTTTTATTTTTCTTTAAAAAATTATTTTTATCCTTCTGATGAAACACCAGCCTATCTTTTGTCCCCGCAGGCTGACAAGCAGGCACGCCGCGTTGTCAGAAGATGGCAGCTGTACGGTGGAGAGACGGGACCCCTCCCTGACTTTTTCCCAGTTTATTCAACAGTTAAGTGATGGCGAATGACCCATCGTGCCCGTGTTTTCCACCACGCGGGGGCAGCATGCACAGGTCCCAGATTTTTTTGCAAGAAGGAATTTTAAAAAAAACCAAAAAACGAGACAGCTCCATCTTTGGCTAGACCAGGCACAATCTCCCAGTTATTTAGCTCTGGAGTTGTTTAAAGAGCTCCTTGTAAGATCCTCCATCACCGAGAACGCCGGCACCTTTAAAATAAGAGTCAGGTATAAATAGCCATCTGAAATTCTCCCTGGCTTTTTCCATCAGCTCTTTGTGGTAGACCAGAAGCCTTGAAAGTAAGTGTTCTTGAGCAGTAAGGTTGAGTGATTTCAAATGCAAATGCACGCTTTAAAAAAAATAAAATAAAAATTAAAGGAGGAGCATATTCTACAAAAGGCAGTGCCACAAATAACAGGTCTGCTTCTTGGTAGGTGCTGAGTGATTATCCCCAGGATGCAGCCCCATGTCAGAGAGCACAAATCCGGGTGGGAAGAACCGTTCTTCCTGGGAACTGCCTTTCCTCACCTTGAAAAGATTTCAAAGCCTTTGTCCTATTGTTGTTTTTTAATCCATAATGCCATTACAATGATTTTCTCTTTCTCATTGTCTCTCTCTCTCCTCCTCCTCTTCCTCCTCCTCCTTTCCTTTCTCTTCTCCTCCTCCTCCTCCTCCCTCTTCCTCCCTTTCCCCTCTTTCTCTTCTCCTCTTCTCCTCTTCCTCCTCTTTCTCTTCTCCTCCTCCTCCTCTTCCTCCTCCTCCTCTTCTTCCCCTCCTCTTTCCAGGTATGCTTTCTCTCGGCCAGTAATTCTTCAGGGATTAACTGACAATACCGTGAGTACCCCTGTATTATACATTTGGATGGAATATCATAGATTCAAAGGGCTTAAAGGGACCTCGGAGGTCTTCTAGTCCAGCCCCCTGCTCAAGCAGGAAATCCTATACCATTTCAGACAAATGGTTATCCAGTCTCTTCTTAAAAGCCTCCAGTGATGGAGCACCCACCACCCTGGGAGGGAAGCTGTTCCACTGGTTGATTGTCCTCACTGTCAGGAAGTTTCTCCTTAGTTCCGGATTAGAATCTGTGCTACCCTAATCTCTATAGGCCACTCTCTTTTGGAGGCCCCTTCGGACTGGGCATGAATTAATAAAGTCCAGCCATCAGTTCGGGACTGTGAAGCCACTTTGCAAAGATTGTGTGTGGTGCCAGGCTCTCTCTGTAAATATTCCCGAGTGTGACCCAAGGGGGAAATTATTGCACAGGTAGAAATAGCAGTGGTTGTGTTTGCACGGCGTTCAATCTTGTGGTTTACTGAACAGCGACTTCCTAAATCCACCTAATTGTCTGAGGAAATCACTCAGCCCTAAACACACATGCACACGTACATGCACAGACACACTCCCATGTGCTCCAAAGAAAAAATACAGATAATCCTCGACTTAACAGCCACAATTGGGGCCAGAAGCCAAGCGGTTGTTAGTGGGACTCCTGCCCAGCATCCTGCGGTTACCTGAGCATGACTCATATTTTGGGGTGGAAGCCAGTAATAATAATAATAATAAAGTTGGAAGGGACCTTGGAGGTCATCTAGTCCAACCCCCTGGTCAGGCAGGAAACCCTACACCATTTCGGACAAATGACTGTCCAGTCTCTTCTTAAAAACTTCCAGTGTTGGAGCATTCACAGCTTCTGGAGGCAGGTTGTTCCACTGGTTAATTGTTCTCACTGTCAGGAAGTTTCTCCTTAGTTCTAGGTTGCTTCTCTCCTTGATGAGTTTCCATCTGTTGCTTCTTGTCCTGCCTTCAGGCGCCTTGGAGAATAGCTTGACTCCCTGTTCTTTGGGGCAGCCCCTGAGATACTGGAACACTGCTATCATGATCCTCCTCGTACTTCTGTTCGTTAAACTAGACATACCCAATTCCAGCAGCCGTTCCTTATATGTTTTAGCCTCCAGTCCCCTGATCATCTTTGTTGCTCTTCTCTGTACTCTTTCTAAAGTCTCAACATCTTTTTTACAGTGTTTTATACTTTCCTGCAAAAAAGAAAAGAAAAAAAAGCCCATTGCAAGCAATGGATTCGCTGAACGACTGCCATGCTCACTTAATAATCATCTCCCCTCCCCCAAATTACAAAATCGAGTCCATCGTAGGATGACCCACTTAATGCCTGGCATCGTTTATGACCTAATTCCAGGCTCTGTTCGTAAATCAGGAACTTCCTGTAATTCCCAGAGATTAACTACCCCGTAGTTGTATTGCACGTGGACTCTGGCCAACGCAATCTTGTTTTTTGCAGCCAGGACAAAATCATTGGGGGGAGGGGGTGAAGGGAGGGCTGTAAAATTGGAGTCTCTGATTCTCTTCTGTGGCCACAGGAATTCCAGGCTCAATGCACCAAAGACCAGCTGCTGGCCACATTCGGAGAACATCTGGTTCGTCTCAGTACTGCCAACACCTACTCTTACCACAAAGGTGAGAAGGGAAAAGACACTTCTCCCCACAACTCTGCCCCAAGAGTGAGCTGAGGCACAGAGGTGCAATTTTGCACACCTGTCCGATGCAAGAAGCCAGGGGCTAGGGTAGGGTTCGCAAGCACAGGCAGTCCTTGATTTACAACAATTCCTTTCGTGACCGTCCAATGTTCCAGCGGCGCTGAAAAAAAGGGACTTACGGCCAGTTTTCACACTCACGACCGCGGTCACCTGGTCAAAATTCAAAAGCTTGGCCGCTGACTCATATTTATGACGGTCGGGGCGTCCCCGGGGTCCCGCGATCCCCCTTTTGCGACCTATTGACAAGCAAAATTGAAGGGGAAGCCGGATTCTCTTAACATCCGTGATCGCCAACGTCCGCTAACGGATATGGCACAAGAAGAAGAAGAAGTGATTCATTTAAACGCTGCAACGAGAAAGGTCGTAAAATGGGGCAAATGGACTTGCCAACTGTCTGGCTTAGCAAACAGACATTTGCGGCTTGGTTGTGCTCGTAAGCCGAGGATTATCGGTACTACGAGTTTATTTCATGCTATGTACACACAAGAATCTGAACGACTAACGGTCAAGGTGAATTTGTGCCAAATAAGAATCCGTGGACTTCAAGAGGGAGGGGGCGCGCGCTTGACTTAGATCTCTTGTGGGAACGTAACGATTCCAAACTGATGGTGCGTTTGGCTCCACCCTCAGCCTCAGCCTGGTAATCTCCTACTCTCATACCTTCATTAAAAAATAGTCCTTAAGTGATTTATGTCTAAAAAAAATCAATAAAATATATTACAAAGGAAAACAAATAGTCCTTGTTCTGCTGAGCATTGTACAAAAAGTTGGGTTGCGAGATTGCACAGCTTTGGCAGAAGATGCATTGAGTTCTTAACTGGCTGTTTCTTTGCTGCAGTGGATCTACCCTTCCAAGATTACGTGGATCATTTGCTGGAACCACAGGATCTGTCTTCCCTTGGAAGTGGTGAGTAGGATGTAACTTGGCACTATCAGATCTTCATGCTTCCTTGATCCGTGGCAGGGGTCTTCAAACTTGGCCCTTTGATGACTTGTGGACTTCAACTCCCAGAATTCCTCAGCCAGGCACGCGTGCCTGGCTGAGGAATTCTGGGAGTTGAAGTCCACAAGTCATCAAAGGGCCAAGTTTGAAGACCCCTGATCTATGGCAACCCAAACTCAGCTTGGATTCCACAGACCAGAATCAGCTCTTTCAGGTAGAATAGAGATAGTCCTCAACACAACAGTTCATTTAGTGACCATTCAAATGGCACTGAAAAAAGGGACTTATGACCCTTTCCCATACTTACGGCCACCGTAGCATCCCCACGATCGCGTGATTAAAATTCAACTGACTCGTATTTATGACGGTTGCAGTTTCCCAGAGTCACGTGATCTCCTTTTGCGACCTTCTGACCAGCCAAGTTAACGGGGAAGATTCACTTAACAGCCATAATGCTAAGTTAAGAACTGCAGCAATTCACTCAATAACAATGGCAAGAAAAGCCGTCAAATGGGGTAAAAATTCGCTTAACAAATGCCTCGCTTAGCAACAAAAACTTTGGGCTCAATTGTGGTCGTAAATCGAGGACTCCCTGTAGCCCAGACCTGAATACCCAAATTACAAATTCGAAAACTACTTTTATGATAGGATTTATAGTAACGGAATCTTGCAACTCTGGATGCGCTATTCCCTTCCTTTCCTTTAATTTCACAAGGACAAGAGTCAGTTTTGGTACTATAGCGGTTAAGGTGCTGGCTTAGAAACTAGAAGACACGAGTTCTAGTCCTGCCTTAGGCACGAAAGCTGACTTTGGCTCGGTTACTTTCTCTTAGCCCAACCTAAGAGAAAGGGGGGAAATAGGCGGAAGAAGGAGCAGAAGGTTTGAGTGACTTACAAAGTAATAAAGAGGGGATAGAAATCTAATCAATAAACTACGTCTGAGACACTTTCTCAAAGTACATTTCTGCTCCGGACTCAGATTTCCTTTCTCTTTGTTTTGACTGCAGTTATTTTCATTACTCATTATGAATAAAGTATCTGCCTTGCAAATTATCTTCTCTCCCGGATTTTTTTTTCCCCTTGAAGATGTTGAGACAAGAAGGTGGTAGGTGCAAAGGGACCAAAACCAGTTTAGTCCCTGGTGGTGGCCTGCAGCTCTCAAGAAAAGCAAAAGACCTGCTGGGAAAAACGACTTTAATTTCTCTTTTTCCCTTTTCCCCCCCGCAGATACGCTCTACTTCTTTGGAGACAATAATTTCACTGAATGGGGGTCCCTCTTCAAGAAGTACAACCCACCACCTTTCAGGATTCCAGGCACCACGGGAGCCTACAGTTTTGGGATTGGGGGTCAGTAGCTGGCACCTTCAGGAGATGGACAGTTTCAATACCTCCACAGGGCAATGGTTTTGTAGCTTCATCTGCTTTGGTGGGACCACGTATGTCTCCTTAGTTTTCAAAGACGCCAGGCTATCACCAAAAAGCATCACCTGCAGGTTCTCCTCCCAAAAAAACTCAAAACAGCTTCATCAAGTTCCCCCAAGGCCCATCTTTGCCCAGGCCTAATCAGATGCTAGATGGAGATGGAGACCTCTCCTCTCCTCCTGTCGTTGTTCATGTCAAGCGCAGAAAAATCAGGGACCCAGGCAGTTCAAAATAATATAGGTTTATTCTATGCTAAAACTCTCTACATACAAGAACCTGAACTGCAAACAGTCCAAGCAAGTGGGCGGTAGATAAGAGTCAACGGAATTCAAGATGGGCTGGGCTTAGGTCTCTGGTGGGCACCATGAGATTCTAGACTGATGATGTATTTGACTCCTCCTTCGGGCTCAGCCTGGTCATCTCCTACAGCTCGCTTGCAACAGGTCTCCAGCATAGCTTGCAGTTTGCAATATCTTGCAATACAGCTTGCAATATCTCCAGCATAGGAGAAACATGGAGTCCCCAAGACCATGAGTCCTCAAAAACAGAGGTCCCCAACCTTTCAGGCACCAGCGACCGGTTCCATGGAGAGAGATTTTTCCGTGGACCAGAAGGGGCGTGGTTTTATGTGCTGCCTGCATCCTGGGGATAGGGCAGTGATGGCGAACCTTTTAGAGACCGAGTGTCCAAAAACTGCGCCCCCCACCCCGTCCCCGCTTTGCCGTGCCCGCTGGGCCACCCACCACCTCCAAGGCCCAGCACAGATCACCCAGGCAGCCCAGCAGAGCCATGGCAGCCATGCCCTCCGCCCGTGCCCCGCGCGCGACGGGGCACAAGGGCAGAGTCTTGTCCCCGCTGCCCGGCTACCATGTCCTTGGCTGCGCTGCTTCATGTGGGCCATGCCCGGGGGTGACTCTCCGGGGGGCTGCTGGTGAGGAGGGGGCCGTGAGAGGAGGCGGGGCTGGGGTGATGGTTCGTGTGCCCACAGAGAGGGCTCTGAGTGCCACCTCTGGCATGCGTGCCATAGGTTCGCCACCACTGGGATAGGGCTTTGCTTGTTTATGTGGGCCAGTTGCTGGCTGGTAGCGGTCCACGGACCGGGGGTTGGGGACCCCTGCTCAAGAGGGTCAGCCTTCCATGAATCCAGTCGCCCATGTCAGTACAATGTCATGTGGCAATTTCAGAGTTATCACAGGTCCATGATGCTGGTGGGATAGCTCTGGCCAGCAGGTCTAACATATTGGATTTGGGATGGTTCCTAAGAAGCTGATTCCAGAGGTCAATGTCCTATGCCAGTGACCTTTGGGCTGAGCCCAGGAACCACCATTCGTAGAGAAGGTCCATCGTGTGGTCGGAGAGCTTTGCTTTCTCAAGCATCCTTGTGTCCTGCTTGAGAATTCTGGACTGTGCTCCAGGTCATTAGGATGTTAAGGAGCCGTCCAATTCCCGGTCTGGATTTAATTTCTCCTCCTTTTTCTCTCTTTTCCAATCTCTTTCAGGCTCCGGTTCGGGGGTGCCATTTCATTGGCACGGGCCTGGCTTTTCGGAGGTCATCTTTGGGAGGAAGGTGAGCGCACTGACAAGGTGTTGCCGTACAAACGATGTTCCCACCTGTCACGGGGTGTGAGATTAACCTTGGGAAACTGGAGGGAGAACTGCAGCCTGGACAGCTACGGTTGATAAGAGAAATCCCAGCCCACAGAAGGAATGGGAGTGGAGAAAGCATCTCAGCAGAACAGAATGGAATGACAAGAGTGGGAAGGGACCTTGGAGGTCCTCTAGTCCAACCCCCCTGCTCAAGCAGGAGAACCTATACCGTTTCAGACAAGTGGCTGTCCAGTCTCTTCTTGAAAGCCTCCAGTGATGGAGGAGGGAGGGAGGAAGGGGAGAAGGAAGGAAGGAAGGAAGGAAGGAAGGAAGGAAGGAAGGAAGGAAGGAAGGAAGGAAGGAAAAAAGAATAGAATAATAGTTGGAAGGGACCTTGGAGGTCCTCTAGTCCAACCCCCCTGCTCAAGCAGGAGAACCTATACCGTTTCAGACAAGTGGCTGTCCAGTCTCTTCTTGAAAGCCTCCAGTGATGGAGGAGGGAGGGAGGAAGGGGAGAAGGAAGGAAGGAAGGAAGGAAAAAAGAATAGACTAACAGTTGAAAGGGACCTTGGAGGTCCTCTAGTCCAACCCCCTGCTCAAGCAGGAGAACCTAGACCGTTTCAGACAAGTGGCTGTCCAGTCTCTTCTTTAAAGCCTCCAGTGATGGAGGAGGGAGGGGGGAAGGAAGGAAGGAAGGAAGGAAAGAAGGAAGGAAGGTAGGAAGGAAGGAAGGAAGGAAGGAAGGAAGGAAGGAAGGAAGGAAGGAAAAAAGAATAGAATAACAGTTTGAAGGGACCTTGGAGATCCTCTAGTCCAACCCCCTGCTCAAGCAGGAAAACCTATACCGTTTCAGACAAATGGCTGTCCAGTCTCTTCTTGAAAGCCTCCAGTGATGGAGGAGAAAGGGAGGGAGGGGGGAAGGAAGGAAGGAAGGAAAGAAGGAAGGAAGGAAGGAAGGAAAAAAGGAGAATAACAGTTGGAAGGGACTTTGTAGAGCCTCTAGTCCAACCCCCTGCTCAAGCAGGAGACCCCATACCAGACCTTCCCTAGTTCTCATGGCTGGCAGGGGAATTCTGGGAGTTGAAGTCCACACATCTGAAAGTTGCTAAGCCTGAGAAACACAGTCCTAGACTATACTCAATCTCCAAATGACTTTTAAAAACGAAGCATTGGGGGGGGGGCAGGAGAGTCTAGAGTTGGATTTCTGAGTAGCTCTTGGTGGTGAGGGTCCTCCTGTACTTTGTGTCATTGGATATTTCAAGGCTTTTAGTCATCTCCATGCCACCTTATTGAGGTAGGAGACGTACTGAAATATCATGCGGTGGTACAAAGCTTGTTCCTCACAGCTTGCTCTCTCTCTCCCCAGCACTGGTTCCTGTATCCTCCAGAGAAAACACCGGCATTCCACCCCAATAAGACGACTCTGTCCTGGTTCCTGGATACGTACCCTTCCTTGCCGCCGTGGGAGAAACCGGTGGAGTGCACCATCCATCCAGGAGAGGCAGGTTGCTGCAGGGCATGTACAGACTGGGCTTCCAGGCAGAATGCCCCAACCACGCCGAGGGAGGAAGGAAAGATCTTCTAAAAAGCCGTTGCATCCGGAGTCATTCTCTCTTTCCTTCCAGGTTCTTTATTTTCCGGACCGCTGGTGGCACGCGACCCTCAACCTGGACACCAGCGTTTTCATCTCGACCTTCCTGGGTTAGCAGCTCCACATGACACCTCCTGTATGATGGGACTCTCGCCATCATTCCTTGGGCAAAGCAATTGGATCTCTTGGCCATTTCAAAGCTCCAGGCTGGTCTACCCATTGAAAGTTGCCCCAATCTCCCCTTAAGGTGAAACTGCACAAGCATTCATTCTGGCACGATGGTTCGGGGACAGAGAATATAATTTCCACCGCCCGGAAATATTTCGGTTGGCTGGCTCCAATGGCGTTGATGAAATTCAACAGCCAGAGGGCCTCGTGAAGGGTGGTGGCCATCAGCTATGACTGACCACAGTAACCCCACCTCTATGGTCAACGAGACCAGCAGAGGTGACGTGGTCCCAACTGACCAATCCTAGACCATCTTCCTCAGGGATCTCCTCCTAAAACTTTTCAGCCAGTATCTCAGGACCCAACTTTTTAAGAAATGGTGCAGACTAAGACTGATGCTTCTTCAGGTGTATTTTGCTATCCAGCATCCTTCTCTCTGCCTGTGCACTTGCCACATGGCGGGAGGAGGTGAAGCCGGGGGTCTTGCCTCATCCATTACAGATAATCCTCGACTTACGACCACAATTGAGCCCCAAATTTCTGTTCCTAAGCGAGACATTTGTGAAGTGAGATTTGGCCCAGTTTACCACCTTTGTTGCCACGGTTGTGAAGTGAATCACTTTAGTTATTAAGTTAATCACACGGTGGTTAAGGGAATCTGACTTCTCCGTTGACTTGGCCTGTTAGGTCGCAAAAGGAGATCGGATGACCCCCGGGGACACTGCGACCGTTGTAAGTTTGAGTCGGTTGCCAAGCGTCCGGACTTTAATCACGGGACCACGGAGATGCTGCAATGGTTTGTAAGTGCGAAAAACGATCATGAGTCCCTTTTTTTAGTTCTTTTGCAGCTTGGAAGGGTCACTAAAAGAATGGTTGTTAAGTTGAGGACTATTTGTATGATGTTTGGGCTCTCTCTGTGTGTGTATGTGTGTCTGTCTCTGTGTGTGTGTCTCTGTCTGTCTCTGTGTGTCTGTCTGTCTCTGTCTCTGTGTGTCTCTCTGTGTGTGTGTGTGTGTGTGTGTCTGTCTCTGTGTGTGTGTCTCTGCCTCTCTGTGTGTCTGTCTCTGTGTCTATCTGTCTCTGTGTGTCTGTCTGTCTGTGCGTGTGTGTGTCTGTGTCTCTGTGTGTGTGTTTCTGTCTGTCTCTGTGTCTCTCTCTGTGTCTGTGTCTGTGTCTGTCTATCTGTCTGTGTGTGTGTGTCTCTATCTCTGTCTGTCTGTCTGTGCGTGTGTCTCTCTCTCTCTCTCTGTGTGTTTCTGTCTGTCTCTGTCTCTGTGTGTCTCTGTCTCTGTGCGTCTCTCTCTGTCTCTGTGTGTGTCTGTCTGTGTGTGTGTGTGTGTGTGTGTGTGTAACAGAACGTTCCGTGATGGAGGACAAAAGGTGTAACTGTTATTATTTCCCGTGTGTCTCATCCAGCTCTTTCAACTCCCCAGGGGATATTTACACCACCAGCTGGCTAAAAATAATTTGGGCTGCTCAAAATTACAGCCTTGCACGGCAGGTAGGAAATCTTGTGACTTGTATGGAGGCTGGTCAGCAACCCGAGGACGAAAAACCTTGTTTCACCTGAAAGTAACCTGTTTGTTCATCCTCCCCCGTTTTTCCGGGCAGGATATGCCTACATTCCTTTTTTCTTTCTTTCTTTCTTCTTCTCCTTCAAAATGATTTTCCTGCCAACTTGATGTACAGAAACGTGACCAGCAGATTCCACGCTGGTCCTGTTTCTATCAGATGTGTCCCTGGCTGATGTGAAATACCAGATCTTAGCATAAACATTTTTTTTATATAAATGCAACTTGTATTTCAGTCAAGAGTTAATTTTGTTCTCGTTTTTCCTCTGGAGATTTTGCTGATTTATTCTTATCTCCACCTGTATTTCTTTTTTTATAAGGAACTCGATGGCAAGCATATCTATGCTGCTATTTCTTCCTATTTTCTCCACATCAAAAACCCTGTGAGACGAATTGGACTGAGAGTAAGAGCCTGGACCAAGATCCCCCCAGCTGGCTTTCAGGCCTAAGATGGGACTAGAACTCACCATTTCCTGGTTAATGGAGCAAAGTCACCCCGTTAGTTTTCATATCTAAGGCGGGACTAGAACTCACCATCTCCTGGTTAATGGAGCAAAGTCACCCCGTTTTCGTATCTAAGGCGAGGCTAGAACTCACCATCTCCTGGTTAATGGAACAAAGTCACCCCATTAGTTTTCATATCTAAGGCAGGACTAGAACTCACCATCTCCTGATGATTGGCTCAAAGACACCCAGGTAGCTTTCACGCTTAGGGCAGGATTAGAACTCCTAGTTTCCTGGTGATTGGCTCAGTCATCTAGCTGGCTTGTCATGCCTGATGCAGGACTAGAAATCACTGTCTCCCAGTTTCTAAACTGATGCCTTAACCATGAGATCAAATTGGCTCTTTAGATTTCTTGGTTTGGTTTAGGCAACTTGACATGCAGTTCCCAAATACTATTGGCAAGAGTAACTGTTCATAATCAGGTTCATCTAGACATTCTAGAAGTTCCCTGCAGATACACAAGACATTAGAAAAGCTGTCACAGTTGTGATGAAAATATTGTTTTGGTTTTGAAGGTTCCAAAGATTTCCCGCCAAGCTGGAATGTGCCAAGCCAATGTGCCTTTTTCCTCCACTGTATCTGTCTTGATGGCCATCTGTACAAAAGAGCCAGCTTCTGAATGATGGTCCTCCAGATGTTGCCAAACTACACCTCCATCTGCTCTTGACTTTGTTTTGGGTTTCTGGAAGAGGTGGTGGACCATCATCTTCCTGTCCCCCCTGTTCCCCAAATAGCTTTACTCAAAACCATCTGGGCATTATCTAGAATGGAGCTGACGGCCAACATTTGTCCATTACGGGTGAAAAACAGCTACAGAATCCTTGTTAACATTAAGAAACTTGAGAATGTTTTTCCTACGGTTAGGACATCATAAAGCAGGGGTCCCCAACGCCTTGGGCTGCAGCTCACTACCGGGCCTTGAGCAGTTCGGAACCGGGCTGCGGAAGTAGTGGGTGAACACGGCCACACATCCCCAGTTGCACGAGCAGTGGGCGAGCACATGCACTCCACTTACACGCATGATGGAGACGCGTGCCCGCTGCTCGTGCAAATGGAGCTGCGTATGTGCGTGCCTGCCACTCGCATGGACCCATCCTCTCTACTGCCCCCGCCAGTCCGTTAAGGCGGAAAGATTGGGGAATTCTGTCATAAAGGATCCATTTCTAAAAGTGGATTTCAGCACAAGAGGCTGGGCCTCTCCACGCTTAGTTTTTCATCTGGGTTCTCGGTATTTGGCTTTAAGGATAGTCTTTGTCTGTTTGTGGAATACGTACAGGTCAAAAAGGTGAATTCTTCAGCCAGGATAGATACCTCTATGTACCAGGGAAGGTAAAGGAGAAAAGAGGTAAACAGGGTAGAAACAGAATTCGTTAGCGTAAGCATTGGATTCAACCTGCACAGCATCATCTAATGGCTTCCCTCCAGAAGTTGTGGGCGCTCCATCATTGGAGGTTTTTAAGAAGAGACTGGACAGCCATTTGTCCAGAATGGTATAGGATCTCCTGTTTGAGCAGGGGGATGGACTAGAAAACCTCCAAGGTCCCTTCCAACTCTGTTATTCTATATTATATTCTCTTTAATGGTGAAAAAAGTAAGGTTCTACATTTAGGCAAGAAAAACCAAATGTACAGGTATAGTATAGGGGGTACCTTGCTCAATAGTAGGAACTGTGAGAGGGATCTCGGAGTCCTAGTGGACAATCATTTGAATATGAGCCAGCCGTGTGCTGCAGCTGCCAAAAAAGCCAACACAGTGCTAGGCTGCATTAACAGAGGGATAGAATCAAGATCACGTGAAGTGTTAATACCACTTTACAATGCCTTGGTAAGGCCAGACTTGGAATACTGCATCCAGTTTTGGTCACCACGATGTAAAAAAGATGTTGAGACTCTAGAAATTTCTAGAGTACAGAGAAGAGCAACAAAGATGATTAGGGGGCTGGAGGCTAAAGCATATAAGGAACGGTTGCTGGAATTGGGTATGTCTAGTTTAACAGAGAGAAGGACGAGGGGTGACATGATAGCCGTGTTCCAATATCTCAGGGGCTGCCNCAGTTAGAACAATTAACCAGTGGAACAACCTGCCTCCAGAAGCGGTGAATGCTCCAACACTGGAGGTTTTTAAGAAGAGACTGGTCAGCCATTTGTCCGAAATGGTATAGGGTTACCTGCCTGAGCAGGGGGTTGGACTAGATGACCTCCAAGGTCCCTTCCAACTCTACTACTACTACTACTACTATCTAATGTTTTACTGACAAAGAAAAGGTGTTTTGGATATGCCCAGAGATAGGTTAACCAGGAAAAGGAAAACAAGATCTACAAAGAAGACAGGAAGATGCCCAAGTGCCACTAGGAACTTTTTTTGTTTTCAAGCAGGCACCCGGGCATCTTCCCTTCTTGCTTACTTAGCTGCAATTTGAATATTTTATTTAAAATGTTTTATAGTCGTTTCCTTGCAGAACAGTAATTTCCTGATTCTTTTTCTCCCTCTCATCTGTTCCGAGAACCTTAATTGATGAGCCAAACAATGCCGCTCAAAAATAAAGAGCAGGATATGAGCGGAGCTGGGAAAAGCCCCATCTCTGCAAAATGTTAATTTGCTTATTTATGCCTGCCTGGACTTGGTCCTGATGCCGAGGGAAAATGGAACAGAGTGTCCCAGATAAGGTGCTGCTGTCACGTTGCATTGGGAGCCCTTCGTCCTGCAACATTTTGCTGTGGGTGTTAAATGGAAGCAATAAGAGGTGCAAAAGAATTTTTGAATAGCAAATAGCAATAGCGCTTAGATTTCTACACCGCTTCACGGTGCTTTACAGCCCTCTCTAAACGGTTTATAGAGTCAGCATTTTGCCCCCAATAATCCGGGTACTCTTTTTACCGAAGAATGGAAGGCTGAGTCAACCTTGAGCTGGTCAGGATTGAACTCCTGATGGGGCAGAGTTTGCCTGCAATACTGCATTGTAACAACTGCACCACTATGGCTTGCTTGCTTCTCTCTCCCCCCTTCCTTCCTTCCTTCCTTCCTTCCTTCCTTCCTTCCTTCCCTCCCAAGCAATAGCACTTAAACTTACCGTAGATACCACTTCACAATGTTTTACATCCCTCTCTAACCAGTTTAGAGTCAGCCTCTTGCCCCCAACCATCTGGGTCCTCATTTTACCAACCTCAGAAGGATGGAAGGCTGAGTCAACCTTGAACTGGTCAGGATTGAACTCCTGGCAGTGGGCAGAGTTTGCCTATAATACTGCATTGTAACAACTGTGTGACTATGGCTTCCTTCCTTCCTTCGCAATAGTACAGGGGTAGGCAACCTTGGCTCTTTTATGACTCGTGGACTTCAACTCCCAGAATTCTGGGAGTTGAAGTCCAAGAGTCATAAAAGAGCCAAGGTTGCCTACCCCTGCAATAGTACTTAGACTTATATACCGCTTCATGGTGCTTTACAGCCCTCTCTATCCACTCAGCCTATTGCCCCCCAGCAATCTGGGTCCTCATTTTACCGTCCTCGGAAGGATGGAAGGCTGAGCTAACCTTGAGGTGGTCAGGATCGAACTCCTGGCAGTGAGCAGTGAATTAGCCTGCAATAATGCATTCTAACCCCTGCGCCACCACAGCTCTTAAATACAGGTAGTCTTTGATTTACGCCCATGATTGGGGTCAGAATTTCCATTGCTAAGCACAGGTCGTTAAGGGAACCGTGCCCTGTTTTATGACCTTCCCCCCACCCCATGGTTTAAGTGATCCACTGCACTGCTTGTCAGAAGTCGAGGGGAAAGGTCACAAGTAGTAATCACGTGACTTTGGGATGTTGCAACCATCGCACGTGCCGGTTATCAAGCGCCTGAAGTTTGATTAGGTGACCCTGGTGGGAGGCTGCAAGTCACGTGAGCAGGGGTCATAATTTTTTTCCAATGCCGTTATGACTTTGGTCACTAAACGAACGGTTGTTAAGTGGAGGATTACCCGTAAAGGCCATTGGGTCCACAATTTCTGGTGCTAAGCAAGACAGTTGCACAGCGAGTTGCGCCTGATGTTACGGTCTTTTTACCATGATTATTGCTAAAAGCCATGGTGCGGTGTAGCTCTTTGCCGATTAATAGATCCGTTGTCGTAGAAATGGCTAGTTTATATTATTGTGTAAAAGTAAAAAGTTGAGCTTTGATGCTATTATCTTATTCTACTGCACCCCAGGGAGTCGGAAGTTAATGCCTTTTCTTTTTTTTTCTCCTTGTCCCACACTTTTCTCCTTTCCCTTTTTCCTCCCTTATTTTTCTATTTTCTTCTGTATTTTATATTATAAACTAATAAGCAAAACATGTTCAAAAAAGCCTGACTCAGGCTTCCATCCTTCCGAGGTGGGTAAAATGAGGACCCAGATTGTTGGGGGCAAAATGCTGACTCTGTAAACCGCTTAAAGGGGGTTGTAAAGCACTGTGAAGCGGTATATAAGTCTAAATGCTATTGCTATTGCTGTCTGTCTGTCTGTCTGTCTGTCTGTCTGTCTGTCTGTCTGTCCATCCATCCATGGTGGCACAGTGGTTAGAATGCAGTATTGCAGACTAACTCTGCCCACTGCCAGGAGTTCGATCCTGACTGGCTCAAGGTTGACTCAGCCTTCCATCCTTCCGAGGTCGGTAAAATGAGGACCCAGATTGTTGGGGGGCAAATAGGCTGACTCCGTAAACCGCTTAGAGAGGGCCATAAAAGCATTGTGAAGCGGTATATAAGTCTAAGTGCTATTGCTATTATTAAGTGAATCATTGGCAGGCTGTTAAGTAAACCGTAGGGCGGTTAATCGAATCTGGCTTCCTCCGTTGATTTTGCTTGTCAGATGTCAGCGGTGAAGGTCGCAAATGGCCATTACGTGACCCCGGGATGTTGCAACCAGTAGTAAACCCATGCTAGTTGCACCTGAAGTTTTGGTCATGTGATTATGGGGATGCTACAACAGTTGTGTGACAACCGATCATAAGTCAATCTCTTTCAGGACCGTTATAACCTTGAACAGTCGCTAAACAAACAGTTGTAAGTTGAAGACTCTCTCTGGTGTGCCCAATGCCGAGAGGAGTGATAAATGGATGTAAAAAAGCAGGATGTTCTTCAGCTAATCACTGTTTTTTTGCTTTGTTAGGCTTCCTGGCCCTTTCCCACTCAAGTATTTTACTTAACCAACATCACTCCTATTGCAAAGATCTCCAAAAAAACCCCCAAAACCTAGAAAGGACATAGGCCGATTTCCGTATCTGTCTTCCTTGAGAAGGAAAACTCCCAATCAGGGGGTCCAAGTAAAACTGCAAAAAACTGTGCAGTGAGGATTGAGGAGAGGGGAGTTTAATTCAAAACCAACCCGAAAACATAAAACGTTTGAGTACTATAATAGGTAACACAAACTGCCCGGCAACGGAACCGCGGGGCTCCGCTCTCTCTCTCTCCGTCCCTCAACACAATTATCCACAAACCGGGCCGACCGTTTCGCCCACGAAGGGCCAATTCCCGTCCGCTTCGAGAAACTGAAATAACAACCCTTTCTCTTTGCCCCTCCCGGATCCGCCCTGAAATCAGTGGCCATTTTATTTACAGAGAAGCAGATGCAGAACTTCAGCTCTTCTGGACCGGCAGGACAACGGATGTCGAGAAGGAAAACTTTGTACAGATAAGAGACCAGGAAAAGAAGCAACGGCCGGGGTGTATGTGTCTCCTGGAGGGTGGGTAGGTGGGCTGATTCCAGTCTTTGCTCTACGGAGAGGAGGGCCGATGGCGTGGGAGGAAGGCGTGCTGAGGAAGGGGACAAAAGCATCTGGATAGAAGCGTGGTGGGTGGGTGGGTGGGTAGGGGGTGCGGTTTGCTACCAAAGTCAGACGGAGCCCGGGAAAAGCAATTCCCATCCTTGAGCTTCTACCATGGGAACATCTTCCATCCTGTCTGGATCAAGGCCGAGGTCTCCTTGTTGCCCGGAAGGAGATCCGGCTCAGAAGAAGACAACCGCAGCCGTGAAGCTACCCCACCTGTCCGGATCAAGGCCGAGGTCTCCTTGTTGCCCGGAAGAAGTTCTGGCTCAGAAGACGACCACCACAGCCACAAAACTACCCCACCCTCCTCCCTGCCGGAGGAGGGAAGGGTTAGGGTTAGCCAGGTGGGCAAAGAAGGGGAAAGGGAGAGAGGCTAAGGCAAGGGGGTGGCCCAGTGGGCAGTCTGGCGCAGTCCGGAGGGGGTCTTCTCGGTTGCCACAGCAGCTGGAGGTCCCCAGGAGTTCTCCTCCCATCCTTCGGAGGTCAGTAATCTTCCACCCAGCCGTTTTCGGATATGAAGGCGTCAATCACCTCTTTCATGGCCAAGTTTGGAATCAGCTGGTCTTGGGTCAGCGGGCTTCGGGTCACAGGGTCAAAGTGGCCAACCCGCTAGGGAGGGCGGAGAAGAGGGAGTTGTGGGAGGGAGGGAAACAGGAGCCAGAGGAGAAGATTATTTTCGGGCCGGAAGTATCCTCAATAACCACATCAAAGCCAGGAGGAAACCCAAACAATACTCCATTGGAAGTTTAAAGATGGTTAAAGACAATTCATCGCGCTGGCTGGGGAATNGGGTCAAAGTGGCCAACCCGCTAGGGAGGGCGGAGAAGAGGGAGTTGTGGGAGGGAGGGAAACAGGAGCCAGAGGAGAAGATTATTTTCGGGCCGGAAGTATCCTCAATAACCACATCAAAGCCAGGAGGAAACCCAAACAATACTCCATTGGAAGTTTAAAGATGGTTAAAGACAATTCATCGCGCTGGCTGGGGAATTCTAGGAGTTGGAAGTCCATATCTCTCGGAATTGCTAAGACTGAGAACCCCTGTTCTAAACCCAGGTGAGATCAATAAATTGCTTAGGAAAACCAGTTTGAAACATGAAAAAAAACCTGCTCAGGGCACAGAAAGCCTCAGTTTGCTTCACTCAGTCCACCCCCTGCAGCCTCCCGCCTCTTGCCTTAACCATCAAAAAAGGCTGTCTATCCTTAAGGACCGCATTCTTATCGCTTTTAGTTGTTTATTTATTTATAAAATTTATTGGCCGCCCGTCTTACTGTAAGGTAACTCTGGGAGGCTTCTTCACCTTTAAATAAAGCTAAGGAGGTCAAGGAAACAACAGAGATCCATATTTATTCTGAACTAGGATTTGGCCCCACGGCCAGCCCCCGATTTGGCATTCTCCCGGCCTTGTGGCTCAGCCTGACGTTATTCCATGACTTGGGATTCCTGTTCCGCCTCTAGGGCAGCCAACCCGCCTCATTTACCTGGAGGTGCTCTTCGATGTCCTTCCGGTCGTAGGTGATCCCACTCGGCGTAATGCAAGGCTCGCGCATCAGTTCGAAGCTGATTTTCCCACACAGGTAATCAGGGATGTCCCGTTTCTGGCCCCAAAAAAGAGAAGATTGCTCTGTATTGCCAACTCAGCATCAAGCTTCTAAATCTAGAGTATATTATAAGATTTTTATCCAACCCACCCACCCACCTATCTATCTATTCATCCATCTATTCATCCATCCATCTATTCATCCATCCATCCATTTATCTAACTATCCAATCATCCATCCACCCATCTATCTATCTATCCAATCATCCATCCATCCATCCATCCATCCATCCATCCATCCATCCATCCATCCATCCATCCATCCATCTATCTATCTATCTATCTATCTATCTATCTATCTATCTATCTATCTATCTATCTATCTATCTATCTATCTATCTATCTATCTATCTATCTATCTATCTATCATTATCTATCTATTCATCCATCCATCCATCCATCCATCTATCCAATAAGGCCCCAATGGGGGAGCATCATCCTGGAAATGGTTGGTAGACTAATAGCAGATCCCATCTCACCCCCTGCACACCTGACTTGTGGAGAGATGGATGGCAAATACATTTAATACGTATATAAATAAAACTCACCTTCCGCTTCTCGTCCACCTGGGAGAAGAGTTCATCCATGTCTGCTAGATATTTTTCCTGAAAGAGAAATTGGACTCTTTAGCATGATCATCAAAAAAAAAGTAGTAGTCTTGGATGGATTTCAAAGAGGAACGAACAGATTCCTGGAGGACTCTGTGTCTAGAAGAAAACCATGTTGCCTCTGGGCTGGGGGCCAAATATCCATTGCAGGGAGAGACCCCTTGCTTGGAAGCACCCAAAAGGTATCTGGATGGCCACCTGGAGAAGCAGCAGAGTGCTTTGACTACACAACAGTGTGGTTGAATGGCTTCTAAAAGATCAGATATCTTTGGAGATTGAGGTGAGGAAGAATGCACATGGCTTTGGAACTGGCAACCCTTCAAGGTTAGATGATTAGATTAGAAAAGAGACGCCTTAAGAAGACTAGACCTCAACTCTACTGAGATAGGCTATCACAACAGAGACTTGCCAACGTGTTTGTGGTTTTTTTCCTCTCCCTCTGATACTCCAGGGAGTCAGAGAAGAGCCAACCAAAATATCTTTCTCCCTCTTTAGAACTCAAAGAATGTTTTTCCCCTCTGTTTTCATAACGGCTGATGGATATTTTGCTTCGAGTCCTCTCCAAGGACATCCCTGAACCAAACACATCCCAAACTGCACCTCAAAGCACAGATGTCATGTGTCTGATTAACGAAACACTTAAAAGGACTTTCAGGCATATTTTTTATCCTAAAAGCATTTATTAAGGTTACAGAGATGTCAGTACGGCACGGTGGAAATGCTTAGATCTGAGATTCTTTTCCGTTGTACATACATTCCAGGCATTTTTCCCTCCCCTATTTTGGGGTCATGGTTCACATCTTCCAATTAACTTGGAAGATGTGATTTACTTCCAGTTTCTTTTTCCCGGGCTTTCCTTATATTCTCCTCCCCTTTCCCTGTTGCCTGGTTTAACTATAAAAATACCAGACAGTTCTGCATATGGTCAAAGCAAGAATATACAGTATTTGCAGCGTTGACATCCGGCCCCCCTTACAAAAAAGGACAGATCCTGTAGTCGACCAGGTAGTCGAGAGAGGTGATCGTCTAATCCCTCTACAAAGTTGACAACAGACTGATGTTTTCTCAACCTTGGCAGCTCGAAGAGGCGTGGACTAATTCCCAGAATTCCCCAGCCAGCCTTGGACCTTCAACCTGCCAAAGTTGAGAAACACTGCTGTAGGCCATCTAAGGCCAACGTAGGAAGGAAGGAATGCTGGTTTGTGGTAGGGAAAAATCAGCACATTTCCCGACTAACAGCTTTTCTTAAAAGGCAGCAACTTTTGCGAGTTGCACCTAGCTTCGTCAGAAGGAGAGACGGGCAGCCTGTCAACACCGATGCCCTCTCATAAAATCCACCGTCAGCCAAGGGACATCGCAACACAAACGGTGCCCTTTGCGGACTGTTCGAGGGGAAGGAACACGGTCTGTCCACCCCGCCTGGGGACTGGAGAAGAGGCCCCATAGCTTGGCTTGCTTCTGACCCAAAGGCCCCACGGAGAGGGCAGGGCAAAAGCCAACAAGGGGTCCTCACGTGTTTGGCTTTGATGTTGGCCAGTTGTGCCCGGCTCCGGTTTTCATCCATGTTCTCCTGCTCTTGGGCCCGTTGGCATTCTTCGAGTTCCCTGGAAGAGAAGCAAAGTGTGGGCAGGTGGTAAGGGGAGGAGAGGTCACCTGGCTCACCCAGAAGAGGGCCTCATCTATCATGGCGCCTTCTGCCTTCTGGAACGTCACTTCCTCTGGAGATCAGAGTTGCTCCCATCCCCGGGGCTTCCCATAAGGCCTCCAAGGCCAGATTACATTACAAGGCAAGTCCTTGACTTTTCACCACAACGGCACCTAAAATTTCTGGTGCTAAGCAAGACAGTTGTTAAGTGAGTTTTGCTAACTCCATCAACTTTTGTGGGGATGGAAATGACGGCTTTCACCAAAGAAAAAAACACACACAAGTACTTTTGTTTCTATTTGGAAACCGCTTCTGGACTTTGTGCTTAAAGTGGGGAAAAAAATGAAACTTTGATTTTGGTGTTTTACTGATTAGACCGATTTGTTGTTATAGAAATGGCTGGGTGACTGAGAATCTCCACTGACGTCTTATGACAGGTTTTTACACTTACTGACCGTGGCAGCATTCCCGTAATCCTATGGCCTATCATAGCAACCCTCCTTCCTGTTTTTCAAAACAACCTTGTCCGGCACAAAAGAGTTATCGCTCAGAACTTATAGACCAGAATCTGGTCAACTAAAATTTAGTACTAAATTGGCCCCAGATAGAGTCAACAGAATTCAAAAGGAGCTGGACCTAGACTGTTGGTGACAACATAACGATTCTAGGCTGATGACTCACTTATCTCCACCCCCCCAGCTCTGCCTACTCTTCTCCTACAAACCTTGTGAGATGGGTGGACCGAAAGAAAAAGGATGGGCCCAAAGCTTCTCTTAAGGATCGCTGGTCAGCGGATCCTTCTCCCACCCATAACTGGATCCTCTCCTGGAGTCTTTCTATCCTCGCCCACCGATTCTCTCCCCCCCCCCGCCGCCCCCACCTCTCCTTCTCTGCCATGATGAGCTTGGTGAGGTAAGCGTGCAACTCGTTCTCCTGGTTGATCCGCTTCTCCTCGATGTTGTTCCAACGTTTCTTCTTGGCGATGCGCAGGGCGCTCGGAATGTCGTCCCCAAAGTTTAGCCGCTGCTCTTTGGCTAGGTTGTAGGCTGAAAATGCAAAGCCACAAATTCAACGCGAGGCCGAGAACAGGAGTGGAAAAACAAGTTCTCCCAAATCTGCCTTTGGGCACGTCACCACCCACACTGCCTATTCTTCCCACATTCAGCTAGAGTTTCCAATCCCAGCTCGACAGACGCAGATTCCTTTCGGTTTAAGCTGCCCTCCCCAATTTGGCCTGACCCAGAGGTGAACTACAGCTGCCCTAGGCCCCAGCCGGCTTGGGTTTATGACTACCCAACCCATCCTGGAGCAACAGAGTGGAGAAGGAAGGAAGGAAGCAACAGCGACATGAGTCGGACACGTAAACACACAAGTTCCGAATTTCACCCTTCAAATGTCTCTCCGTCTACTGTTCTCTGAGGCTTTCTAAACCATCTTTGGAAAGGGCTTTTCAGCAACCAAGAATCAGGGTTTGACAGAGGGGAATCAGGAGGGCTTAGATCTTTTTTTTTTTTTTTTAATGAAAGCAGGGTTGAGAATTTAGAATCCATCAAAGGTGGGTCATTTTACAGATAAGCCTCCATTTATGATGGTTTGCTTAACAACCAGTCAAAATTATGATGGACCCCAAAAAATGGTCCTTACGACCTGGATTCAAAGTTCCAATGGCTGCCCTCCCCCCAAGATCATGTGACCACATTTGGGGGGCTTGGCAACCCCCTCCCCCACATTTATGACCATTTGCATTGTCACATGACCACAATTTATGGGATTAGGTTTTTTTTTTGCCAGAAACTGGTCTTTATGAACAACGGGTTCCCTTAAAAGACTGACACGTTTGCTTAAAAAATGTTGCAAAAAAACTTGTAAATTCAGGCATGGTCAAAAATAACCTGCTTAATGACCATCATGACTTATGCCTGCAATTCTGGGATCAGTTACGGTCGTAAGTCGAGGACCACCTGTACATTACTGAAATTATGCACCACGAAGTTGTAAAGTTTAGAAAGGCGAGCATGGAAAAAGAAACTTGGTTTTAGAAATGGAAGTTGTCTCTTGTGAGCCTCTGGCCCACACACTTCCTTGTTCTCTTTCCTGCCTGCCCCCCCTTTCCCCCACAAAAGATTTGTGGGATTTTTTTAGCCCTTCAAAATACAAACAAACCTAACTTTCTGTTATGGAAAGAGATGGGCAGCAAACAAATTTAATAAATAAACCAACATATAAATAATGTCTGGGATGAAAGCGTGTTTCCTTGACAGAGATCTCAGCTGCCTCAGCTTAAGGAAAGATAAATTCTCAGTGTCAATTTGGAATTTGGGGTGTGTGTGTCCAGTTAGGTGCCTTCACAAAATGGCCGCCAAGAAAAACTTGCCAATTCACAAAACTGTTGCACTGGCACCCAATCACCCCCAAGAGAGGGGCGCAAAAGGCATTGCTGCAAATAAACACTGGTGCCGTGTGTGTGTGTTTGTGTGTGTGTGTGTGAGAGAGAGAGAGAGAGAGAGAGAGAGAGAGAGAGGAAAGAGAGGGAGAGAGAGAGGAAAGAGGGAGAGAGAGAGGGAGAGGAAAGAGAGGGAGAGAGAGAAAGAGAGGGAGAGAGAGAGGAAAGAGGGAGAGAGAGAGGAAGAGGAAAGAGAGGGAGAGAGAGAAAGAGAGAGAGGGAGGGAGAGAAAGAGAGAGAGAGGGGGAGAGGAAAGAGAGGGAGAGAGAGAGGAAAGAGGGAGAGAGAGAGGGAGAGGAAAGAGAGGGAGAGAGAGAAAGAGAGAGAGGGAGGGAGAGAAAGAGAGAGAGAGGGGGAGAGGAAAGAGAGAAAGAGAGAGAGGGGGACAGAGAGAAAAAGAGAGAGGGAGAGAGAGAGAAAAAGAGAGAGAGGGAGAGGAAAGAGAGAAAGAGAGAGAAAGAGAGAGAGAAAAAAAAAGAGAGAGAGAGAAACACAGACCGTCCCCGGGGGGGTCCAGGGGTGTTATGAACAATGCAAGCTAATTCCTCGCTCATTCTTCTCGGCTGTGGGTTGCTGACTCGTTTTAAAGCCTGTTTCCAAATCAGCCAGAATCTATAACCGGGATCGGCCCTATCACACACCACTCTAATCAAAAGCAGGAGTCCCAAATAAGCCATTTTTTTTTTCCTGAACCCAAACCTAGACTCAAGGACCCCAGGACAGTGTTCCCCCCCCCAACCTTTAACCATTTTACAATGGGTGGACTTCAATTCCCAGAATACCCCATCCATCCATCTCTCATTTCAATTTCAACTAGCCTTTTCTGATTTTTCTCACCTCCCCCCGCCCGGTAAAGGCACTGTCTCGTCATTACTCAGGAAAGCTGTTTACAATCTTATTTTGGTAAACCTGCCTCTCTCGGTTTTGCTCTACATAATCCAAGGGTGAAAGTATATAAAACAGAAATGCAAAATATACTGTGATTAAAGGGGACGGGGCTCACTTTCGTGGACTGCAATGTTTTAATTTGCTCTTATATCAGCTTATTATTGCTGTTTTATTATTTCCGACTACATGAATTGAATGTTTTTTTCACTTCTATGTTACTTTTGGAAGAAAAAAAATCAGTTTTCAGATGAATGGGTCTGTTTACAGACAAACTGAGATCCGAGGAATGTGACCTTGTAGCTCACAGCAGCCTGTGGTAAGTTTTATCAGAACATTCTCACGCCAACTTCTGAATCTCAAGATGCAAATATTTCTTTTAGCTAAGACTGTTGTACTCTGTAGATAATAGAAAGGCAGGAAGTAATCTGAGGACGATTACAACTTATAAATATGTATGCAAGCATCACTTTCTCGTTCTTTCTGAAATGTACAAGTGCATCCTTTTTGTCTTTTAGGGGTGTTTTTCCCATTATTTGGGGGGGGGGAAGAGACCCCTTCTAGTGGACCCTGTTAATGATAAATACTGTAGTGAGCTTTGATTACTTTGTTTTGGGTCCTGTGTTTTAATTCTACACTTTTTCAATCCCTTTAATCGCTTAATATAGATTTTTTTTCCCTAGCACACTTTTTTTTTCATGCAATTTTTCTTTTCCAGTATTTCAAGCAAGCCACTGGCACATAAAATGGGAGCCAACTCCACTCTCTAATAGCGCTGAGGGTGGATCGCCTCTGGAAAAGATGGACCATATACAAATCAATCAAAATCAACCAATCAATTAATCAATAAAAGTGGTACCCAGTTTGGTAATGGAACATATGCAAGAAAAGAACCCAGCTCAGGGACCACCAAGGACTCCATAGTCCTCCTCCTCCTCTTCCTCAACCCCCCCACTCCCTCCTAGCACTGCTGATGTTACCTAGGCAGGTAATGAAACGTCTGCAAGAAAACCGCCACGCTCAGAGAAGCATCAAGGACTCAACTGAGCTACAAAATCTTCTCTTCTACCTAACATTTCATTCAGACGCTAGTCATATGACCTTTTCCTAATATTTAAGATCATATTATACAGCGGTGGGATTCAAATAGGTGAACAACCGGTTCTCTGGGTAGATACAGCTTCCGAAAGTCCGTTCTGGGCCTGGGCAACCAAAAATTAGCTACCAGTTCTGCCGAAGTGGTGCAAACTGGCTGAATCCCACCACTGATATTATACCTCTGCCTTGATGCCCATCATTTTTCTTAAATGTTGCCAATGCACTTCCTTCTGATGCTACAAAGCAGACCATGCTCTCTGCGACAGCCTCTCAAATATTGGAAGAGTGCTATCATGTCTCCCCTGGTCCGTCTCTTCGCTAGACTAGCCGTGCCCAGTTCCTGTAACCGTTCTTCATATTTCAATTTATTATTACAGCCAAAGGCCCCACATAAATCAAACTCCCAAATAAAACAAAACTAGACAGAGCCAAGGCAAGAGGACATAGCAGTACATCGCAATCAATGATGCAATCAACGGGCGACCAGGGTCTGCCTAGTTTACAGACAGTATATCAAAAACAAGCTAGCTTCAGAAAAACTGAATCATACTGACCTGACACTAAAAATATTATAGCATAGTATAGTATAGTATAGTATAGTATAGTATAGTATAGTATAGTATAGTATAGTATAGTATAGTATAGTATAGTATAGTATAGTATAGTATAGTATAGTATAGTATAGTATAGTATTTTAGACTGAGTATAGTCTAAAACTGGATAAAACACGTAATAAAATCAATTTTTAAAGATTATTAAAAAGATCTAAAATGATTGTTTCTGTTTCTGGAGAATCCCCAATGCTGCTGCGCAGAATCTGGCCACATGCTCCGTGATCTCTGCCTGCTCGTCCTTAAACAGCCACTGGAGATAGATACTATCCGAACGACCAGGATCTCTATCAATTATGGGGAGGGTAAAGAAGAGAGACCATTACAGCTCAGAGACCAGGATTATAAGCTGAAAAAAAGATCTTTCCAGCTGAGTTTATGAATATACTTTTACAGTAAAGTTTCTCAAGTCTGGCAACTTTATGTCTCTTGGGCTGGCTGGGGAATTCTGGGAGTTGAAGCCCACCCATCTTAAAAGTTGCCACGCTTGAGACATACTATACCAGTGATGCCGAACCTTTTGGAGACCGAGTGCCCAAACTGCAACCCAAAACCCATTTATGTATCGCCGGGTGCCGGGTGGGTGTGGCCCACTCGGCGGGCGCAGCTACAGTGGGTTTGGCAGACTGGGTGGGCGTGGCCACTGGAGGGGTGTGGCTGCAGTAGTCATTGCAGATTGGGTGGGCACGGCCATCTTGATGTTGCTTATGGGGAGGGACACCTGTGGGAGCCGGGCAGAGTTGGGGGAGATCCAGGGGGGTCCCTGGCGGGTGGGATGGTGGGCTCCCCAATGGCGGCTACAAGCTGGCTGGCCTTAGCCTAGTGATGGCGAACTTTTAGAGACCACGTGTGCTGGGGCGATGGCGCGTGCCCACAGAGAGGGCTCCACGTGCCGCCTCTGGCATGCACGCCATAGGTTCGCCACCACTGTACTATACCCAAAGATCTCACCCCCTCCCACGCGTACCTCTTTGAAGGTTAGCAATAGCCTCGTCGTAATTCTCCATCTCCAGCTGGCACTGTCCCAGGAAGAAATGTGCCTTCACGGATTGGCCGTCCAGTTCCAAGGCGTGCTTGCAGTCGGACAGGGCTTTGTCGTGCTGTTGCATCTTTAGGTAACATAAGGCGCGGTTGGTGTAGTAGACGGCGACCAAGGGATTGCGATTCTGCAAGGGGAGAAGGCAGGAAAGCTGGATGGCAGCAGATTCAGGAGACCGACGGAAAAGAACCGAGCTCAAGGCTGAGCTGTGGAGCCCTCGGTGCTCCCTGAGTTTGGTGGGTTTTTTGCAAGCCACTTTTATATAAAATGGGAGCAAAGCCCCCCACTCCCTTCTAGCACTGATGTCGTTACCTAGTTGGGTAATGAAACGTCTGCAAGAAAACCACCAAGCTCAGAGAGGAACAAGGACCCCACAATCCTCCTCCTGCTCTTCTCTTTCTCCTCCTCCTCCTCCAGTCTGCAAATGCCACTCCCTCCTAGCACTGATGTCGTTGCCTAGTTGGGTAATGAAATGTCTGCAAGAAAACCACCAAGCTCAGAGAGCACCAAGGATCCCACAGTCCTTCTCCTCCTCCTCCTCCCCTCCCTTCTAGTACTGATGTCGTTGCCTAGTTGGGTAATGAAATGTCTGCAAGAAAACCACCAAGCTCAGAGAGCACCAAGGACCTTGTAGATCCAGGATAGTTGGATGAAAATGCTAGGTTTATTTTACCAAAATCGTCCCAGTCCAACAATCTGCACTGGGTCTCTAAATCAAGATGGCATCTTAGCTGGATCGACAGGGGGAGACTTTGGTTTAACCTGTTCGGGGCTGGGTGGGGAGGGGCAAGTAAAGCCTCAGGTCCCTGAAATCTTTGATGCCTCCCCTAAAATGTCAACGGCAGGACTCTGGGAGTTGATCTGCACTAGAACTGTGATAGGAGAAATCCTGAATACGTGGAGGAGTGACTGTATGAATCGCCACATCATGTTGCAAAACAAATCAAAGGCTCCTCGTCTTATGCTTCTTCACTTCCAATGGCATTCTGCGGCCTTATTCCCAGGCACTGCAAATTCAGCTTTAAAAACGCCCCCATCAAAAAAGGACCCCAAATTCATCCAAGGAAGATGCTGGTTGACACCATTATTAAAGCTGTTCAAAGTGCCGGACTTATTTTCCCCTAATGCTTCAACAACAACAATCAAAATCTCTCTATTGCTGAAAAAAAGAATTGAAACAGCATTATTCTTTCAGGTAAATGCAATTAAGTCACACACAGCCACTGGGAAGGAGCTAACTCCGATCCAAACTGGAATTTTCCAAAATATTCCTGGTTGAAAACAAAACAAAACAAAACAAAACTTTTTTTTTTTTTTTTTTAGCATGGGGAGCTCCTAAAAACTGTGATTTCTTGCGAATCCACTTCACAACGGCAGGGAATGGAAAAGCTCAAGAAGAATTCAAGAATTAAAAGGATATTTTGCAATAGCAAGGAAAGAGAAAGCAGATTGGAAATACTTTCAAATCAAAACAAAGGCAGTGAAGATAATCAGCCTGATTCTTTTCCAGGATCCAACAAACATTTCAGAAAATAATTTTCTGGATAAGAGTGATGGTAACCAGCTTGAAACAGTAGAGCGTCTTTCAAAATAAAATCTAGGTTTTTCAAGGACCTCTTCCCCTCTTTTGAGAAATCAACTCTCTTTCGTAATATGTGCAAGGCCACTGAATACACTAAGCATTAAAGACAAGATTTTTTTTGAGGCGAGATTTTTGCCCCAGAGAATTTCCATCCATAAACTGCAAAGACTGTAATGTTGTAAAACTCCAATGCGTAACTACTAATATACAACTGGTCCTTGACTTAACCACAGTTCATTTAGTGACCATTCAAAGTTACAACGGCACTGAAATGACGTAGGATTGTTTTTCACACCTACGACCGTTGCAGCATCCCCCGTGGTCACGTGATCAGAATTCAGACACTTGGCAACTGACTCGGATTTATGACAGTTGCTGTGTCCCCGGGTCACGGGATCCCTTTTTTGCAACCTTCTGACCGGCCAGTGCTGTTGTAACTTCAAACGGTCACTAAATGGAACTATTGTAAATCAAGGACTACCTATAGTGCATCTAGCTGTTCTTATCCTTGCAAATGGGACCTCACGGATCTGGGAGAGGCACCATCCCAGTTCTTCAGCCAAAAGAATAAAAAAATTGCAAAATAAAACCAGCAAAAGTATCTTTAAGCAGCCGGCACTATGGTTTTCCAATTGTTTCAAACAGTTTGCCCTACACACACAACACACGTACACAAATACCATCTTTTACTGTTAATCCTTTGAAACAGGCCAGCTTTTCTCATGCTGTTGCTAAAAAGTCTCTTTATGTTTTAACTTTCCAGCCCGCCTCTCCAGCTGCAAAAGGACTCCGGGCAGCTCTCCAGAGTTTAAAAGCAAGACATAACACAGCCTTGGTTCTTAAAAAGTAGAGTCGCCCGCAGGGAACAGATTAAATAAAAGGCACACGTCCCCATGATTCTTGCAACCCCCTTAAGAGGTTGCGATGTGGTGGGATAGTGTCTCTCGGATGTTTCTTTTTATATGCAGGTGATCCTCAATGTACGACCACGCTGCAACCTGGAATTGAGGAGAAACTTCCTGACAGTGAGGACAATCAACCAGTGGAACAGCTTGCCACTAGAAATCATGGGCGCTCCATCACTGGAGGTTTTTAAGAAGAGGCTAGACAGTCACTTCTCTAAGATGGTATAGGTTCTCCTGCTTGAGCAGGGGGCTGGACTAGAAGGCCTCTAGGGTCCCTTCCAGCTCTATTCTATTCCTATTCTTATTTCTGTTTTGTTTTTGTAAGCGAGGCATTTGTTAAGTGAATTTTGCCCCATTTTACGACCTTTCCTGCCACAGTTGTTAAGTGAATCACTGCAGTTGCTAAGTTAGTAACCCGGTTGTTAAGTGGATCTGGCTTCCCCCATTGATTTTGTTTGTCAGATCGCAAAAAGGGGATCACATATAACTTCGGGACACTGCAACCGTCCTGAATACGAGTCAGCTGCAAAGCATCTACATTTTTTTAAAAAAGTTTTTTATTTATAATACAATTAAAAAAATAAAGAAAACATTGGACATGACGTAACATTCCAGTTTGAACATTTCTGTCAAATTATTTCTCCTCTTAAATTCAATTCTTTATCTCTATAAATATATATAAACTTTTTATACAATACTAAATACATTTTCTCTATTTGCTAACCTAGGAATATATACGTATTTCCATCTTATTGCTAATCTATAACCCCAACAATCCTCCTCAATTCCCACCAATGGTACAATTTATCCCAGATTTCAAAATATTCTGATCTGCTTTTATCTTTCAATTCCATCGTAAGCCTGTCCATTTCAGCACAAGATAGTATTTTATCAAAGCATCTAAAATTTGATCCCACGACCACAGAGATGCTACAACAGTCGTAAGTGTGAAGCACAGTCGCAAGTCACTTTTCCAATGCCGTTATAACTTTGAACCGTCACTAAACGAACTGTTATAAGCCGAGAACTACCCACAGCGTCGTTTCTTGAACTTGTGAAGTATCTGGAGTCGCTTTGGAGTTGGGCAGCTTTGGGATCCGATTAAGATGAGAAATCAGGTACCTTGCTCCTGAATCTGGAGGTTCTGTGTCGCTTCCAGATCTAAACTTCAGCTGATCCCATTCATTTCCTGGAAGATGCTCCAGCTGCAAAGTTTTCCATCCATCCCAGATGTGCTGGGAGGTGGGCGTGATGCCTCCTCCTCCTTACAGGATGTAACCAACTTCGCCTCCGTACCTTCTGCCTTGAGGAACTTGCACACGCGGCTTGGGAAGACGCATGAGGAGCATAACTTGCCCCACAGAAAATGAATCACAGCCCATCCGCTGCCCGGATATCCCAGGCCTGTTATTTGTCACGGGGCCGATGCAACGAAGCCTACTTTACCAGGAGCCTGGTGTGTGTGTGTGTGTGTGTCTGGATCCTGATTTTAATTTGACTTTAACCAAGTCACAATTGGCCCACCTCACAGGGCTGTTGTAAAGGTCACATGGGCAGGCCTCCACAACAGGCTAAATAAAACCAGGGTCTCCAAAGTTAGCAATTTTAAGACTTGTGGCCTTCCACTCCCAGAATTCCTCAGCCAGCATGAAGTTGCCAGGTTGGAAGACCCCCCCTGGGGTAAAGCAAAGTGTCAATCACTTCTTTGCAAGGTGAACCTGGTTACTGATTTTAAGCCATCTCGTGGACTAGGTTTGTTTGTCTGAGAAAGCCTGCTTAAGCCAACCACTGCACGGACCTGTGCCAGGGTGAAATCTCACAGAAGCTGTAGAATCCTAGGGCTGGAAGGGACCTCAAGAGGTCTTCTAGTCCAACCTCTTGCTCAAGGTAGGAGTCCTTATATCAAGGGTCTTCAAACATGGCTGCTTTAAGACTTGTGGACTGCAACTCCCAGAATTCCTCAGCCAAACTGGTGCGAACTGGCTGAATCCCACCACTGGGTGAACCCCTGATCTGGTGGCCATCAACCAGAACCTCTTTGGGTTAGGGACAGCCAAAGAAACTCCCAGCACCGTATTTTGTACTCACACAAGACGCTTAATCTAGTTTTTGTATAGGTTATCCCTGACTTACCATTCATTTCGCAACTGTTCAAAGTCACAACACTGGGAAAAAAAGTGTCTTAGGATCGACCCTCGTCTTTACAATCGTCGCAGCATCCCATCAGTCACAACATTATCAAAATTTGGGTGCTTGATAACGGGCAGGTTGCAGCATCGCTGGGATCACACGGTGACCATTTTGATTAGATTTGTGTTGCTTTGTTTTGTTTTTTTTTAAATGTGTTTCAATTGATTATATTTGCAACCTTGCCAGCTGGCTTCTGACAAACAATGAGGGTTAGGAAAGCTGGAATTGCTTAACGGCCGTGGCAAAAAAGGGTTACAAAATCAAGCTCACTTTATAACAGCCTTGCTTAGCAACGGAAATTGTGGACTACCTGTATTACTATGCAGTAACCCATTTGGGGAGCCTTCAGCTCCCAGACGTGTGTTCGTGTTACGTGTGAAGTCACCAACCTATCCAAGGGGAACATCGGCGGTGAGTTCGCCCACAGCCATCAGGTTTATAACAAACCCTGTTCAGCCTATCATCCAAGCGCAACCACAACATTGTGCGCACACCTCTCCAGCGGCAGATTTTTGAAAAAGGGAATAGGGTATAAACACCGGATCTGTTCCAGCTCTTTGCTCAGCTTAGACCCCAATTCTTTTTGTTCCCAAAGCCCGGGACCCCATTCACACACCCTTTCTGTCACTCTAATGCAGTGTTTGTCAACCTTGGGAACGTGAAGAGGTGTGGACTTCAACTGGGAGTTGAAGTCCACACCTCTTCACGTTCCCAAGGTTGACAAACACTGTTCTAGTGAACCTTCTCAAGCCCCCTGCCCACCCCAGACCCCACACTCACCTTAATCAAGCCCAGCGTCAACCAGTCCCAGCCCATCGGTCCTTGTCCCTCAAGAGGGAGGTTCGAGATAGGTCTTGCCCTGGTGAGCCTTTCCCCTGCCTTCCCCAACCCACACCTGCCAGCTCTCTGTGCATGCTCAGATGCCTCCCCTGTCAGGTGACTGCAGCAGACTCATTCATCTCATCCTCTCCCAGTTGCCACCTCATTCCTCATCCCTGGGGTCAAAGTCGACAGGCACTCTGCTTATAAACGCTCAAGGCCCAAGCATCCTGGGCTCTTTTTAGCCACCACCCAGCTTAGGAAGGCGCGCACTCTGCTTGTGCTCAGAGGACCCCTCTTCCTCTTTGCTGGGCAGAGGAAAACTAAACCCCACTTCACGTTGCCTTCTGTCTGTGCCGAAAGCGGCAATGCAGAGACGTCGTCGCTGCCCTCCAAAATAAGGAGGAGTGGCATTCTGCTTGTCCTCAGAGGCACCCTCTTCCCTTACATGCACTTACACACACACACACACACACTAAAATGCACCCGATGCATTTTTAGCCCTCTTTTTATGGGGAGGGGGTGATGCACTTTAACCGGGGCAAAATCTTCATTTCTCCCCCCCCCTCATACCAGAACCAAAACGCTCCAACCCCCAGCGCCCTCTGCCTATGCTCAGAGGCCCCCTTTCTCCCCCGCAACCCTCTCCTTCGCACCCGAAGAAACCCGGCCTGTCTGCGGCTTCCTCCTCCCCCGCCACCCCACCCGGGTCCGAACAACCCTCTGCCTATGCTCAGAGGCCCCCTTGCTCCCCCATGCAACCCTCTCCTTTGCACCCTAAGAAACCCGGCCTGTCTGCGGCTTCCTCCTCCCGCAACCCCACCTGGGGCCGCCCTCCCCTCTGCCCGTGCTCAGAGGCCCCCTCTCCTTCCCCACCCGGAGCCTCCGCCGCGCTCTGCCCACGCCCAGAGACCCCCTTGGCCCTTCCCCACCCGGGTCCCCCGCCGCCGACTCACAATGGCGCGTCCGTAGCAGGCGGCCGCCTCGGGGTACTTGCGGCTGACGAAGAGCCGGTTGCCCTGCTCCTTGTACTCCTGCGCGCTGCGGGTCTTCTCCGGGCTGCCGCCCGCGCCGCCGCCGCCGCCGCCGCCGCCCGCCTCCCCGCCGCCGCCGCAACCGGGCAGCCCCGCGCCGCCCTCCTTCTCCTTCTCCTNGGTTGCCCGCCCCGCTTTGCGCCCACCCGGCTTGGGTGGCGCACGGTCGGTTGGCTTAACGGTCGGGCGCGGGGAGTGGGGGGCTCCTGCCGCTGGGCAGGAACGGGGAGGGGGTCCCGCGGGGTTTGGCTCGGTTGGGCCCGGGCTGGGTGGGAGGCGGGTGGGAGATGTTGGTCGGAAGAGGGTAGACTCGAAGGATGAAGCGGGGCTTGGGTGGGGTGGCTGGAGGAAGCCACCCCCAGGCTAATCTGGTTGGTGGACCTGGGTTGGAGGGGTGGGGTGGGGGCTGTTTCCGAAGAAAGTCTTGGTGGTTTGGTTAAAGTGCAGGTTGGACCCTAATGTTCCATCCCTGGAGGCTTTTAAGAAGAGATTGGACTTGTCTGGAATGGTACTATGGGGTCTCCTGCTTGAGCGGGGGGGGGGGGGATGGAGTAGATGACCTCCAAGGTCCCTTCCAACTCTGTTATTCTGCCTGCCTGCCTGCCTTCCTTCTCCATCACTGGAGGCTTTTAAGAAGAGACTGGACAGCCATTTGTCTGGAATGGTACTATGGGGTCTCCTGCTTGAGCGGGGGGATGGACTAGAAGACCTCAAGAGCCCTTCCAACTCTGTTATCCTTCCTTCCTTCCTTCCTTCCTTCCTTCCTTCCTTCTTTCTCCATCCCTGGAGGCTTTTAAGAAGAGACTGGACAGCCACTTGTCTGGAATGGTACTATGGGTCTCCTGCTTGAGCAGGGGGATGGACTAGATGACCTCCAAGTTCCTTCCAACTCTGTTATTCTGCCTTCCTTCCTTCCTTCCTTCCTTCCTTCCCCATCACTGGAGGCTTTTAAGAAGAGACTGGACAGCCACTTGTCTGGAATGGTAGGGTCTCCTGCTTGAGCAGGAGGATGGACTAGAAGACCTCCAAGGTCCCTTCCAATACTGATGTTCTGTTAAATTTTGATCGATTCACCAAAGTTGCACGCTCTGCAGCTAAGACTATCGATTGGTGAAACTGCAAGTTAATCCGAAATTAAAAGCAAGTTTGGCGCCTACTGGGTTAAGAAAAGGGAGACTAGCCTTGGGCACAAAGCCAAAGCTGAGTGACCTTGGGTCAGTCCCTCTCTCTCAGCCCTGGAAAGCAATAGCAGATCTTGCATATACTGACAGCAGTGAGAATAGTATTTGCCCAATATTGGAAAAATGAAAACTTACCAACTGAAGAGGTTTTAATTAAGAAAATTTTAGAATGTGCAGAAATGGATAGGTTGACCCTAGAGATTAAAGAGAAAGAAGATTCAGTTTACTTTAGAACATAGGATAATTTTTACCAATGGTTAGGAAAACGAACTAGTGAGAAATGAATGTGATATGTTATTTTGAATATATATTAGTAAGAAGAATGATATGTGTTAACTAACTGATACTGTTTATGATTATTGTTTATTACACTTATTACAGTTACTTACTACTATATTAACTATTGTTTACTGAACATATGTACCCAGACAATAGTCTGTTTGCTAAAGATTGAAAATGTTATTGGGGGATAACCCCAATGTTGAACCCAACCCCCTCCCAACCCCAATCCTGATCCAAACCCCACCCTAAACCTTAATCCTAATCCCGATCCTATTCTATCCCCAACCCTATAAAACTCAATAAAAATTTTAATAAAAAAAAGAAAGCAATAGCAAATCACTGCCCAGAAAACTTCAGGCACTTTATTATTCTTAATGAGGGCTAGTTTGTTGTAATGGCTAAGGCATCGGGATAAAAACTGGGAGGCGCTGAGTTCCAGTCCTGCCTTGGGCATGCAAGCCAGTGACCTTGGGCCAGTCACTCTCTCTCAGCCCTAGGAAGCAGGCAAGGGCAACCTTTTCTAAGAAACATTGCCAAGGAACTTGTATGCTCAGGAAACAGGAGTCAACGTGGGCTGAAAAGCACCCAAAATATATATAATAATACAAAATACAATATGAATAACCCACAAAGTTGGCAAAGCTGCATGTTAGCGTGTCTGCACATCACAGCGCATTGGGGTAAATCTGACCACAATTATAGTGGAGAGGTTTAGCCTTGAGTGACAGGTGGCAAAGATCCTGTATTGAGCTCAATCTTGCGAGAGTTTCTTGAAAAATCTGCGGCTGGTATCCTAAATATTAACCAAGTTTTGATGTAGGAACAAGTGTTGGGCTTAGAATGTCTCAGATAGGATTGACTTGGCTTTCCAATTTGGGTCAGAGTTTATATAATACCCAGTATTTCTCAGATAGAATCAAGATCACGTGAAGTGTTAATACCACTTTACAATGCCTTGGTAAGGCCACACTGGGAATACTGCATCCAGTTTTGGTCACCACGATGTAAAAAACATGTTGAGACTCTAGAAAGAGTACAGAGAAGAGCAACAAAGATGATTAGAGGACTGGAGGCCAAAGCATATAAGGAACAGTTGCTGGAATTGGGTATGTCTAGTTTAACAAAGAGGACGAGGGGGGACATGATAGCAGTGTTCCAGTATCTCAGGGGCTGCCCCAAAGAAGAGGGAGTCAGGCTATTCTCCAAAGCGCCTGAAGGCAGGACAAGAAGCAACGGATGGAAACTAACCAAGGAGAGAAGCAACATAGAACTAAGGAGAAACTTCCTGACAGTTAGAACAATTAACCAGTGGAACAACCTGCCTCCAGAAGTGGTGAATGCGCCAACACTGGAAGTTTTTAAGAAGAAACTGGACAGCCATTTGTCCGAAATGGTATAGGGTTTCCTGCCTGAGCAGGAGGTTGGACTAGATGACCTCCGAGGTCCCTTTCAACTTCATTATCATCATCATCATCATCATCATCATCATCATCATCATCATCATCATCATCATCATCATCATCATCATCATCATCATCATCATCATTATTATTATTATTATTATTATTATTATTATTATTATTATTATTATTATTATTATTATTATTATCTTCAAGTTGCCCAGGTTGAGAAACACTGCTTTAAACAACCGAATATAAAAAGGAAATATGACCTCTCTGTCCTTAGCTACCTAATACTTGTATTTTGATTTTTCTCTGTTCCAGGAAGGCCTTAAATCATGTCAGCGAAAGGGGGACTTTATGCATGTGAGGATCCAGCCTCTTGGAAAGCCGTTTTGAATATTTACCAGGATGTGATTGCAGCGATGGGAAGCAAGGGGAAAAACCTAATTGCCCTGGATCAGTGGTAAATTACTGATGTGTCATTTGGAAGTTTAATGAAGGCATCGGCCCATCAGCTAGGTTGGCCTGGCTGACCATTTTCCATGTGCAAGAGAGAGAAAAATGCATTTTGGGATGGCTTGGGCACTGCCGCCCTCTTTCTTATTTCCATAAGCTTCTTAAAAATCTCCTTCTGAGAACGAGGAGGGCCCTGTCTGTTTTTACCGTTTATTTTTCTTGTCTCCTTTCCAGGTATCAAGAAGAATTGCCCAGAATTCTTGCAGGACGCAAGGAAAAATACTTGACGAAAGAGGAATTGTTGAAACTCATGCAATGGAAGCTTAGCGTAGGTATTCCACCCTGAAGCGCCAAACAGATTTCAGCAGTTCAACAACAGGTGACATCTCAGTCTCAAAACTCATCTGTAAAATGGGTTTATTAAGGGTCCTTGGTGCTCTGTGTGCTTGCTTGTGTTTTTTTTGCAGACATTTCATGACCCAAACTAGCTAACATCATCAGTACACTGATGATATTATTTAGTTTGGGTCATGAATCGTCTGCAAGAAAACAAGCAAGCTCAGAGAGCACCAAGGGCCCCTCATTTCAACCCTGAGCTACAGATATTCTCCTTTAATGGATATATTGATGATGCATTTGGCATACTAGTGCAATCTCCTTAATAGGTTGGTTCAGCTTTCGCTTAGCAAGCATACATGCTGTTTAATGGGCAGTCACTTATCTGAGATGGTATAGGTTCTCCTGCTTGAGCAGGGGGTTGGACTAGAGGACCTCCAAGTTCTCTTCCAGCTCTATTCTGATACTATTCTAATTCTATTCTATTCTATTCTATTCTATTCTATTCTATTCTATTCTATTCTATTCTATTCTATTCTATATTCTATATTCTATATTCTATATTCTATATTCTATTCTATTCTATTCTATTCTATTCTATTCTATTCTAATATTCTATTCTGTTCTATTTTCTGTTCTATTCTATTCTATTCTATTTTCTGTTCTATTCTATTCTATTCTATTCTGTTCCTTTTCTGTTCCTATTCTGTTCTATTCTATTCTATTTTCTGTTCTATTCTATTATATTCTAATATTCTATTCTGTTCTGTTCTGTTCTGTTCTATTCTATTCTATTCTGTTCCTATTCTGTTCTATTCTGTCCTATTCTATTCTATGCCAGGCTCAAGACTAGAAACATGAAGTCTGAAGAAGAGACAGAAGGCTTAACCCTAGCACTGAGGAAAGATAAACGATGGCGAAATTGTACAGCTGGCAGAATGAAACCACGCTAAAGATTTGCAGCTCAGACTGAGAAGCTGATAATTTCTGCTTTTGGTCTTTCCAGAGAGGAAAATTTCGGCCTCGTTTGCAGCAGCTGGTGGCAGCTAATCCGGGAGAGAAGGTGGAGGAACATACCCAAAAAGCTTTCCATCAACTCCCAGATGTAGAAGCTGCTGTGAAGGAGTTGAACAAGCTGAAGGGCGTCGGACCAGCCACGGCTTCAGGTACAAAAATGGAAGGTTACAAATCTGGAACTTACAGAATACAGAATAACAAGAGCTGGAAGGGACCTTGGTAGTCTTCTGTTCCAACCTTCTGCCCAAGCAGGAGACCCTGTACCATTCCAGACAAATGACTGCCCAGTCACTTCTTAAAATCCTTCAATGTTGGAGCACCCACAAGTTCTGGAGGCAAGCCATTCTGCTGGTTAGTTGTTCTAACTCTCAGGAAATTTCTCTTTAGTTCTAGATTGGATCTCTGTTTGATAAGCTTCCGCCTGTTACTTCTTGTCCTGCCCTCAGGTGCTTTGGAGAATAAGTCAATCCCCTCTTCTCTGTGACAGCCCCTCCATCAATGGAGATTTTCAAGGAGAGATTGGACAGCCGTTTCTCTGGAATAATAGACGGTCTCCTGCTTTTGTAAAGGGTTGGACTACAAGACCTCGAAGGTCCCTTCCAACTCTCTTATTCCTCAATAATGTTTTTCTACGTTCTGTAATGGCTATTTTCTACGGCTGACGTACCTAGGGATCAATTCTTCCTGGTCATCTTCCTCCGAGTCCCTTTATTTCCACTGTGATGCAAGGCAGAAAGGCAGAGACAAAGCCATCCAAAGAATAAATGGATTCTAAATCTAATCAATAAAAATAATAGAAATACCAGGCAGGGACACTTTACACCCTGTCACTCCCCCCCACCAGATATTTCTCCCATAGCTCTGTGTTTTCGCTTCTGTTTTAGCCATTCTCGCTGCCGGAGCACCCGAAATTGCTGCATTCATGGCAGATGAAGTGATGGAGATCCTTCCAGGCCTGGGTCCTCTCCAGTACACCCTGAAACATTATCTGCTTTATATGGACAAGATTCAGAGCTGTGCTGAGAAACTGAATAAAGGTAAGGCAATTTTCTCTCTTCTCCCCATTATAAAAAAGATGTTGAGACTCTAGAAAGAGTGTGGAGAAGAGCGACAAGGAAGGTTAGGGGACTGGAGGCTAAAACATACATTGAACGGTTATAGGAATTGGGTATGTCTAGTCCAGGGGTAGGCAACCTTGGCTCTTTTATGACTCGTGGACTTCAACTCCCAGAATTCCTGAGCCAGCATAGCTCGGCTTGGAAACCTCTCCCTTTCCCCTCAGCATGGCTGGCTCAGGAATTCTGGGAGTTGAAGTCCACGAGTCATAAAAGAGCCAAGGTTGCCTACCCCTGGCCTAGTCTAATGAAAAGAAGGACCCTGGGTGACATGATAGCCGTGTTCCAATATTTGAGGGGCTGCCCCACAGAAGAGGGGTGTGTGTCACCCTATTCTCCAAAGCCCCTGAAGGCAGAGCAAGAAGCAACGGATGGAAAATAATCAAGGAGAAAAGCAACCTAGAAATAAGCAGAAATTTTCTAACAGTGAGAACAATGAATCTTGCTTCCAGAACTAGGGGCTGCTCCATCAGTGGAGGCTTTTAAGAAGAGAGGTTTGTCTAAAATGGTATAAGGTCTCCTGTCTGAGCGGGAGGGCGGGGGTGGACTAGAAGATCTCCAAGGTCCCTTCCAACTCTGTTATTTTGTATTCCGTATTTTGTTAGGTGACACCACAGGAACCTGGACGGCTCACCTGGTGGAAAAATGCCTCTGGACCTGGGCTTTGGCCGAAAAGCTGGATTTGCCCTCTTTACCGACTGTGAGCCGAGGGGAAGACCAAGGAGAGGGTGGTGAGCAAGGAGGCAGAGGCCGGAAGAAGCAGAGAACCAGATGAACGCTTCCCAGCTCCTGCGATTGTGGGATCGACACCTGCTCCTCGGCACGTGAACGGCAGAGCTGAGCAACACACCCAAGGGACGTTTGCTCGCTTTGGGACCAACCACACCAGCCCACAGCAACCCTCCACAGCACAGCTTTCTCACAAACAGAATGCAGCTTGTGTGACACAAGAGTGCTAGAAATCCTGCTTGGTCTTCTTTCAAAGGGATGGGTCCAAAGGTTCCTGTTTTAATAATGTTGAAATGGATCGTTCTCTCCGAAGCAGCCTTACCTTATTTGCCCCCCCCCATGGTAATGGATCCTCCCTCCCTTGCTTGGTGGAGTATGGGAGGGGGAACTCTATTAGATCTACAGCTCCATTGGTTGATATAGGTTGAGCCGTGGTTAGAATGCAGTACTGCAGACTACTTCAGCTGACTGCCAGCTGCCTGCAGTTCGATTCTCACCGGCTCAAGGCTGACTCAACCTTCCATCCTTCCGAGGTCGGTAAAATGAGGACCCAGATTGTTGGGGGCAACAGGCTGATTCTGTAAACCGCTTTGAGGGGCTCTAAAGCACTGCGAAGCGGTATATAAGTCTAAATGCTATTGTTATATTAGGAATTAAAGATTTAATGGAACTGGCTGGCTGATGTGTACTGTATATGTGGGAATAGTTTTCATAGAACCCAGGAGTTGTTGAGCTAAGCTTTCCTCTCTTATTTTTCAATAAAAAGGGATTAAAGGATATGAGTAAACCTCGCACAATTACAAAATAAAAAGCTACATCAAAAGGTGCGGGGAAAGAAGGAAAAGAAAGGACAAGATCAAAATAGAAAAAAAGAAACACCCGCTTCCATCCTCAGCCAGCATAAATCAAGATTAAAAACTTGCCACCATCTCTTCAAACAAAACCCAGTATCTCTTTATTCCGTACCTTCCTCCAGTTTCTATAAATGCACCGTTGCAACTTCAAAAAGTCACTAAATGTTTGGTTCTAAGTTCAGGAAAACCTGTAATCAAAATTCAGTTCCACTCAAATTGAGTTTTCCAAAGGAAAATACTGCATCCAGTTTTGGTCACCACGATGTAAAAAAGATGTTGAGACTCTAGAAAGAGGGCAGAAAAGAGCAACAAAGATGATCAGGGGACTGGAGGCCAAAGCATATAAGGAAAGGCTGCTGGAATTGGGTATGTCTAGTTTAATGAAGAGAAGGACGAGGGGGGACATGATAACAGTGTTCCAATATCTCAGGGGCTGCCACAAAGAAGAGGGAGTCAAACTATTTTCCAAGGCGCCTGAAGGCAGGACAAGAAGCAACGGATGGAAACTGAATGCAGCCGCGCGGGCGGTGTTGGGAGTGACTCGTCGCTCCCATGTAACGCCGCTGCTGCGCGAGCTGCACTGGCTGCCGGTGGCTTTCCGGGTGCGCTTCAAGGTGCTGATTATCATCTTCAAAGCGCTCCATGGCATCGGACCTGGTTATCTCCGAGACCGCCTTCTGCCTCAGATTACCCCCCACCGGCCGATANGCCAGACAGTGCCGGCTGGCGACCCCCAGGAGGAGGGCCTTCTCGGTTGGAGCTCCCACCCTATGGAACGAACTACCCCCAGAGATCCGGGTGATTCCGGATCTCCCCTCCTTCCGCCGCGCCCTCAAGACATGGCTATTTAAACTGGCAGGACTGGCCTAAGGGTTATTTTTAACTTGGTTTTATAATAATTTTTTTTAAAAAAAATTAATTAAATTATAAAGGCCTTATAATAATATTTTATTTTAATTAACTTTTTAACATTAGTATTTTTGTAGTTATGTACTTGTTTTTAAAAAGGCTGTAAGCCGCCCTGAGTCCGCAGGGAGAAGGGCGGGGTAGAAATTTAAATAATAAATAAATAAATAAATAAATAAACTAATCAAGGAGAGAAGCAACCTGGAACTAAGGAGAAACTTCCTGACAGTTAGGACAATTAACCAGTGGAACAACCTGCCTCCAGAAGCAGTGAATGCTCCAACACTGGAAGTGTTTAAGAAGAGACTGGACAGGCATTTGTCCGAAATGGTATAAGGTTTCCTGCCTGAGCAGGGGGTTGGACTAGATGACCTCCAAGGTCCCTTCCAACTTAACCATTATTATTATTATTATTAAAGGCTTGGGAGCAAAGAGGGAACTATGTGATTTTTTCCCCTTAATGGTCTGGGGCACTGTTTCTCAACTTTGGCTGCTGGAAGATGGGCGGACTTCAACTCCTGGAATTCTGCAGCCAGCCTGAGGAATTCTGGGAGTTGAAGTCCACGCATTTTCAGGTTGCCAAGGTTGAGAAATACCGCTTGGAAGGACATGATGCTTCTCTGTCGCTAGAGGGAGCCCCTGCCTAAAGATACCAACTTCCAACAGTTCTTAAATCCTGTCTGGCTGATTAATCTATGAAAGCTTTCCTCAAGTTGCTCAGATGCCGTGATGTGTCTACACCTACAAAGATCAGAATCGGGCAAGTCACGATATTCCCTGTGATATTCTATGGAAGCGAAAGTTGGACTTTATAGAAGCAGGATAAGAAGAGTATTACAGAATAGAAGAGTTGGAAGAAGCTTTTTTGTTGTTGTTATTTTTGACTTTTGTCGCAAGCCTTAGTTCATTTTGAGCCTTAGCTTTCCTCACTTCATCTTTGCAGGCTCGGGCTATTTGCTGATATTCTGCCCGTTATGTGCCCCGGTTTCCACTTTTTGTACTTGTCCTTTTTTGTCTTTCAATTTATCAGAGAGTTCTTTATGCAGCCATGTTGGTTTCTTTTGAGAGCTGTTAAATTTCTCTTCTTCATTAGTGTTGTGCTTAGGCTGGGCTTTTATAATCTCACTTTTCAAAATTTCCCAAGCTTCTTGAGTTGTTTTCCCCTTGAGGATTCTCATCCATGGAATCCCTCCCAAACTCTCTCTAAGTTTATTGAAATTAGCTCTCTTAAAGTCCAAAATTCTAGTTTGACTATGTTCTATTGCTTGTGCTTGCATCATTTCCTGACAGTGAGAACAACCAGTGGAACGGCTTGCCTCCTGGAGTTGTGGGTGCTACAACACTGGAGGTTAGACAGCTATTTTTCTGGAATGGTATAGAGGTGTTCTAATCCAACACCTCCCCCCCCCCATCCAAGCAGAAGACCCTATACCATTCCAGACACATCACTGTCCAGCTTTTTCTTGAAAACCTCCCGTGTTAGAGCACCCAGAAACCCAGGAGGCAAGCCATTCCAATGATTAATTGTTCTCACTGTCAAGAAATTTCTCCTTAGTTCTACGTTGGATCTCTCCTTGGTTAGTTTTCATCCATTGCTTCTTGTCCTGCTTTCTGGTGCTTTAGAGCAGGGGTCTCCAAACCTTGGCAACTTTAAGACTTGTGGACTTCAACTCCCAGAAGTCTTAAAAGTTGCCAAGGTTGGAGACACCTGCTTTAGGGAATAGGTCAAAGCCTATTATTATATTATTGTCATGGTTCCGAAAGATGAAGCTCTTCAAAGAACTTTGAGGCATTGTTTACCTTAAAGAATCTTTAATTGAACAACATAGCTTCGGCACGTACATAGGTGAAGCCAAAATCTGAATTCTCCTCCCCTAAACACATAGTATCAAAACATAATTCCCTCCTCCAATTGACAGTCATTAATCACATTCTCCAATTAGTTTGAAGTGCGAACTTGTAACCCACCATTTCTTATCTTCTCTTATTTCAAACAACCTTGAAGAATACTCTACTGAGATATGGTTATGTCTAACTAATCCCCATACACATTCTTTCCCCTCCCTGCCAGCACCATCTAATTCTAACTCTAAAAGTAATAAAACAGGTTAAAGAGAAAATGGCTGCGCCTTCATATATTGTCAAAGCGAGAACATCCGATGTTAGCAGGGTTGACAGTGATATTGACAACTTTGAACTTTGTTGTTGGAGAAAAGCTGAAAAGACCACGGACGGCCAAGAAGACAAATGGATGGCTCCTCAAACAAATCAACCCAGAGTTCTCACTCCAGGCACAAATGACCAGACTCAAATTATCCGACTTCGGACACATTGCGCTAAGACTCAGTTTCCCTCTTAAAAAGCTCTTATGTTAGAAAAGATAAGAAGGGGACCAGCAGCAAGGCGACGGGGTTATTTTGGGAAGAGCCGAAAGAATAAGTTAGGGATAGATCCTCATGGGAAATGAATTGTTGGGGGCCATAGGCTGATGTAAAGCGCTATTGGGGGAGTATATAAGTCTAAGTGATATTGCTATTGCTATACATAGATTCTTCAAGTCTGAAAGCCCCTCTCTCCCCCCACTCCTTTGCAGCCTAAGAAATTAGGGAGGGTCCCCTGTGAGACATTGGACATGCTTTTGGCAGGCTCAGCCACCTCTTATTCAACCTTTCCCCTGCCTGTGGCCCTGGCTTGGCTCTCCCAAGGCTGTTCACATACCATCATTGCAATTCCCTACCTTATGAACAACATATTTCATTTTAAAAAAGCAGCGGCTTTCGTGAGCTGTAGATGGATGCAGAAGGAGCACACCTGGGCACAGGAAAAACTGCCTGGGTGAAATTCACACAGCGATTGGGGCGTTTTTCTCCCTGGCAGAAGAGACGCTGGCCTAGTTTTTGTCTTATTATAATTATGGCCCATTTATTCTTGGGTCTTGCAAATTCTTTGTCCTGTTTCTCCGAACCGCCTCCCAGATCTTTTCCTAAGTCTGCTCCTTACGTTCCAAAAACTGTAGGCATCCCCTTAAATTTTCACCCTGGGGAAAATAAAATCTTAATGTTATTTACAATAGAGGGAAGAACTTACAAAACCCAGGATGCTTATATTTCAGTCAATTATTTAGGCATCCACTGCTAGGCAGTAAACAAACATCGTCTTCCGGATACAGGTAATTGGGAATTGGAACCCCGATGGGCTAATGATCCTCGGCATTATCGCAATATATTTATATCGGATTTCTGCTCTTTTAAAATATTATTTCCCTGGCTGTTGTTTAAAAGTTTCTAAACTTCCACTCACTCACCCACCCACATTTTTAAAACAACTTGTACTTTACAAGAGAGTCACCCACCCATTAACAAAAGAAGTTTGGGGCTGGGCAGAGAATGGGGAAGGGAGAAGGCAGGGAGGAGAAAGCAAATTGTCACGCAGTGTGTTAGCATTTGCATCGATCCTGACACGAAGCATCTCCTGTCCATCTTCATCTGCTCCTTGTTAAGGAGGTAAACATCGATTGGATATCGATAGGTTTCAATTGCTCTGCCTCTGTCTTTTCCCCCCAAGGAGGCTGCAATTTGTGGCTCCCTGGCATTAACGCTGCTGGGAGAGAGATCACTGATTCATTTACGGCCCATTTACAGAGACGTGCACTGCTTCCAGATGTGGCAGGTGTGCGGGAAC